TTTTTTTTTGGTAATTGGCAAGTAAAACATGTATTAAATGACCAGTATTCACGTAAATGGCCTATATATGTGATTTGAAAGAATGAACTTCACGGGTGTAAAACGATTTGGTTTATACGAAAGCAGTCTAGAGCCAAATTATTGGAGATGGGATATGAAATAGTCTTATAGAAGTGAAAGGTACAACAAGAGTCGGCCATTGTATAGTCACTTATGAATGATGATCCATCAAGAAAAAAAAAAATCTCTGGCTTAATGTGCGTACACAAATATTTCTTAAAACTATTTGATTACATCACATTAATCTTTGCAAGCTAAGGAGTAAAATTCATATCATTTTGTAATGTAAAATTAAATATTTAAGAGTTCAAATTGAAATTATTTAAAAACCTATTTAGCCAAGCACAATTGCACATTTAGAAGTACGTCGATAGAAGTAATAATGCAAAATTACAAGTTTCATTTCTATATTAAAAATAGTTTTTTTGATCAACCAGAACTAATAATTTGAACAAATATCTAATAACCCAGAGATATGTCTTTTAATATACACAAATAAAAATAAATATGAGTAATGTATCTTGTAAATCTAAATATATTTCAATGATTATTTTCTCATTTATGCATGAAATTTCATTTTAGCACTTTGGAAATGTAATCGTGGTTATGGACAAAACAATAGGCAGACATACCCTACTAATAGCATTGGAGTAAGCTTATATAGTTGGACAAGAATAATTGTGAATAAAAAAGACAACAGCATTAGATCATTCGAATTCGTAAAATTCGATGATCAAAATATATGTACTGCCAATCTATATCTTGTCATGGATATATATATATATATATATTCCTATCCTCATCACCACTGCAGCCATTTCTTAATTTAGGCAATTACTAATGAACCTAACAACTCACATTAGTCATTTGAGGCAATTTACAAAGAGGACATTTGGCACAGCCAGCCAAACCAAAATTGTGATGTCAAGAATTCACTTCTTCTCAAATTTATGTTGGAAGTGGTCTAATCGTTAGACGAGTCGATCTGTCATATTTTATTAACAGAAGCTCATACTTATGCTATGAAATATTATTTTTTTAATTAATATATATATATAAATATGTAGATTGAAAAGTTATATATGCTTTACCAGTTAGATCTGTCTAAGAATAATCTTACTATTGCAGTAAACATTTTATAACGGTTTATAGAAAACTAAAACAAGAAAGTACAAGAGAACTACACTTTTTTTTTGGGCTAACACGACATATAAAAAAAAAATGGTGAGAATAATTGAGGAAAAGTTAACTATTGCCAGAATATCAAATGGGTCCAAGAAAGAATATAGTGAAGAAATAAATGGAGTGTAAAATACTCGTGGTCGGCTAGTTATTAGTTAGGTAAAGCCTCTTTTCAGGAATTATTTAATCACAAGTCGCGCTGCCACGGAATATTTGTCGGATTTGGTACAGTTTGGCTAACTATTAAGAATTAATTAAAAATCATGAAAAAAACCATATAATAATACTATATTAACATAACATTCCAATTTTTCTTCGTGTGATCTCATTATAATCTATGTTTATTTATAGTTAAGCCAATTCTAATTTTAACAAATTCACGTGCTTTCATGATTCAGTGGGCTCCTTTGGCTTTGCCGCGGGTTTAATTAGCGCATCCATACATTAATCTTATTTACACATAATCAACGCACGCTGATCAATATAGAAAATGTTGATCTATTATTAGTATTATTAGGATTATTATATATTTATTTAATTAAATTATATGACTGCTCGTGTAACTGCATCATGGGCGGTGCTACCAAATTGTTTTATAACAGGTAAAATACACATTTAAATCATATAAACTATTTTATATCTAAACTTAATATAAATGTTCTAGATCATTTTTATGTTAATCGATGATTATTATCTCTTGTAATTTATAGGATTTATCATTATTACCTTACTAGTACAATACCCGTATACTACACGGACGTTGAGTTAAAAATATATTATAAAAGTTACTGCAAAAATAAAAATTTTATTTAAAAATTTTGATGGACTAATTAATGAAAAAAAAAAGAGGAATAAACAGTGCAGAAAATTATTTGTAAATCGTAAATTTAGGAGAGAAAAATAAGAGAAAATTATAAGATGTAAGATTGTTACTTGCCCAAATTAATAAGGAAATTTGTACTAAGAAAGAAAAAATAACCAAATTAAATGTGCACTTACCAAGTTTGAAAAAGTTATTTATGTCTATATCGAGCCTAATTCCAATGTCAGCATCTGAAGCGTGTGAGTCTGCCCACTTAAACTCAATACGTTTTAAATTAATATGTAAGGAGGGATATATTCCATAGGTAAAATACATATTTAAATCATATAAACTATTTTATATCTAAACGTAATATAAATGTTCTAGGTCATTTTTAGTTAATTGATGATTATTATATATGGTAATTTATAGGATATGTCAATATTACCTCATATATCGCACAGGCTTGCTCCGCACTAATTGATAGATGAAACATGCAATGAAGGAAATTTGGAAATAAGGAGTGGACAAATGCCGAAGATCCAGGGCAGATAACATTCCTTTCGGCATTTTCTCAATTTATTCAACTTATGACACAAAGTAGGGTCAAATAACAGGAGATTCTACGATATCCTTTCGTT